TTATCAAACGTATTGTAATTTTTGGTGCCAACAGCTGTCAAGTTTTGCCGCGGGTAAACTCGGAAAAACAATTGCTGTCATTCAATTTTTCCATCTAGATACCATTTGTAATCCAAAATTGCGCGTTTGCGATTGGTAGAAATTAATACGAGGAAAATAGTCAGTGAAAACTGCCCAGTAGAAATCAAATTTTTTCCTATAGGTCCGTAACTATAATAACGATTGATTTTCCATTCAAACATGTTGTCGGTAAAAAACAGCATTCGGTTATTTTATTTTTTTTTGGCCTCGGCCTTTTTCGCCGCTTTCATGAAAAATTATCGGTAATTTTGATTCACCTGTGTAATTACTTCCAAAAACATTTTCGCGTGCAAACAGCTTGTCGCAAAACATTTTAAATCAAAATGACTAGGTACAACTTCATTAAACATGCAATTAACTAATCACGTAAAAATGTTCGAATAACCTTTTTAATAATACTAATACTGCAATAATTACAAGGAAGGACCCGAATATACAGGGTGCGTCAGAAAGAACGCATGTTTTTTAAATAAGTATGGGAAAATATTTTACTATATCAAAATTCTCAGAATACATGCAATTTTTTCGAGTAAAACAAAATTTACGTTCTAAAAACTATGTCGGCCATATGGCGCCCTTGAGCCGAAATGCAGGAATCAAGACTCGTAAGCCCATAAAAAAATCACACGATGACAGGTCCTGTGAGCGAGCGGGCCATGGAGTATCGCCATGACGTGAAATGAGACGTCCTGGGAATTTTTGCCGATGAAGTTCCATCGAAGTGCGAGCTGTGTGAGACGTTGCCCCGTCTTTGTTGGCACCACATAATCATCGTTGGGCCTACTGCACACCAAAGTGTAATTTTCGGGGTATACAGGGGGTGCTCATGCAACTGTTGGGGGTTCACTGGAGACCAATATCGACAATTTTGTTTATTGACGTCTAACGCATATTTCAGTGCTTTTTATTGAGGTTTCCTCCCATTTATTTTTTAAACGGGAGCAAGCTGAAATTTGGGCTGATATATCTTAATTGATGCATGAATAGTATACAGGGTGTTTCAGTTTATTGTTGCATAACTTTAAGATTCGATAGAACTTTAAAATTAATGCATAAAGTCTATATAAAGATGGGTCGAAAAATGCGTGGCTTCCGAAATACAGGTGTTCAAATTTACTTTCTAAAATAGTTTTTTTTATATATTTCGAACAATATTTGATGTATAGCAGTGAAAATTGGTATACAAGGGTTTTTTGGTACGACAAAACGAACCATGGGCATAGTTTTTACTGTAGCCGCTAGAGGGCGCTCTCTACTGTACCTGTAGTGTATTAAAATGTTCGAAAAATTTTTCTTAGTACAATTTTTTGCTTTTTGAATTAAAAAACTGATTCTTCGCACTTTTCTGCATAAAAAGCTCTCCCGTGAGTTTTCGTTATAGTTAGCCGTTTTTTGAGAAATTTCGATTTTTAAGGTTCGATGCATTTTAATTATTTATGGGAAAATAATATTTTTTTACATTTTCGATTTGGGCATTACAGTAATTAAGATGATCGTTTAGATTGTGTTTTTAAACACAGCAATAATTGCTAACTCCAAATAAACACAAAAAACAGAATATTAATTTGTTTAATCTTCCAATATTATTTTTAACAAATTAAATGAATATTGGAATGCTTTTGGATAGTTAGGAAAAACTCTACGAATGATCGAACGTGGTATAGCATTATTCAAATAAGGCCTTATTTCATCACATGCATTCCTGATTCTGTCTATTAGCATATCTCTTGTGGTTACGGGAGTCTGGTACACTTTTTCTTTTAGAAATCCCCACACAAAGAAATCTAATGGATTTAGGTCAGGGGATCGTGGAGGCCAGGTGATTGGTCCTCCACGGCCGACCCATCTTTCTGGATAATTTTCGTCCAGCCAGTTTTTAACTATTCTCTAATAATGAGCTGGACAACCATCAAGCTGGAACCAGGTCAATCTTCTTAAATCTAACATAACATCATCCCACATATTTGCATGTTCAGCCTTTGAAAATTCCAAGAAGGTCGCAGCATTTAACCTTGCAGGCAAAAGGTAGGGTCCAAAGAGTCGATTAGGGTAGATACCAATCCACACGTTCACACTAAATTCATGCTGAAAATTTCTTTCCCGAACTGCATGCGGATTTTCATACGACCAAATATGTTGATTATGAAAATTTACCACTCCACGTCTAGTGAAGCATGACTCATCGGTCCATAAAACGTTACTTAAAAACCTCCTATTATTATCAGTTCTATCAAGAATCCTCTGACAAAATGTGATTCTTCGTTCTCCGTCCCCTGGCTGTAGTCCTTGCACAGGTTGCAAATGGTAAGGACGTCTATGGTCATTTCTAAGAACACGGTGAACATGGCTTGCTGAAATTTCTAAGACCCCAGAAACTCTCCTAACACTTGTGGTCGGATCTCTATCAAACTCACGCAGAATCATACGGGTAAATCTGCGCTGACGAACATTTATGTTTTGATCCCTTTGGAGATTTCCAAAACCATTTTCAATTATTTGGCGATGCACTCTTACAAATACTGAGCGAGTTGGATGTCGTCTGTTTGGAAATCTTCGTGCGTATTCTCTGGCTGCTTCTGCTGCGTTTCCATTTACAAAGCCATACACAAAATGAATATCCGCTAACTCTTGATTGGAGAATAAAAATGGCATTTTTATAAAACTTACAAAAAAAACAGTTAAAAGAAACTAAATTTCGTGCATTCGCAATTGCAAAAAAACGTTTCAGGTTTCAACAGACAACAAAACTAACTGTCAAGTAATTGACGTTTAACCTTATTCTGCTTTCAGTTTCAAAAATATTTGCAGGCACAGCCTACTTCTAAAAATTATCGAGATACTGACTTTTTAACGTTATTTTATCATAAATAATTAAAAATGCATCGAACCTTAAAAACCGAAATATCTCAAAAACGGCTAACTATAACGAAAATTCACAAGAGAGCTTTTTTATGTTGAAAAGTGCGAAGAATCAGCTTGTTTATTCAAAAAGCAAAAAGTTGCACTAAGAAAAAATGTTCGGTCATTTTAATACACTACAGGTACAGTTGAGAGCGCCCTCTAGCGGCTACAGTAAAACTATGCCCATGCTTCGTTTTGTCGTACCAAAAAACCCTTGTATACCAATTTTCACTGTTATACATCAAATATTGTTCGAAATATTTAAAAAAAACTATTTTAGAAAGTAAATTTAAACACCCTGTATTTCGGAAGCCACGCATTTTTCGACCCATGTTTATATAGACTTTATGCATTAATTTTAAAAGTTCTATCGAATCTTAAAGTTATGCAACAATAAACTGAAACACCCTGACATTATTTCCGTGAGTTACAACTATAAATTATCGATCAATCTCGATAATCAGTAATTTTGCTAAAATCTTCGACATAATTCTTTATAATTAGATTTATCTCTCTAGTCTCAATCATATATGTGAATGTCAACTTAGTTCTACGAATGGTCGTCAACTTTGTAACCAATTGGACGTAGTGTACACAAATTGATCACAGCAAACTTCTTGCTAAATTAAGTTTTTTTGGTTTGATATACAACACGATATCTTTATTAAAGTCCTATTTACATAATCGTCAGCTATTCATTTCTTATAATAGTTCCGAGTATTTGCGGTGTATAGCATCGTCAGGGGTAGCACACGGTTCCAATTTAGGACCATTACTGTTTTGCTTTATGTTAACGGTATCAGTAGCAATATTCATAGTGAATCATTAATATTTGCTGATTGTTCTTTGAAGTTAAGAGCATCACTGACTGTGATTGTTTACAGTGTCACTTATCTAAGGCCCGTATCGTCAGTTGTCAATTGTAGGGCGCGTTTATGGCCTCCTTGATCGTCATAGTTTTCTACTTCTCCGTGTCAGAGCTCTATTTTGAGGTTATGTAACAAACATCTATTTGCATCAAATTGTGCTTGCTTTCGAGTTATATCATGTTTTATCAGCCTGATATTTCCTACAATTTAAAAGGAAAACATATCTTAACAATAGGAAAGTGCTGACGCTGACACGGGACGAGTGTAATCTAGAAATTTTTGAAGAAGATAAAAGAGTATGACAATCAAGGAGGCCATAAACGCACCCTACAATTGTAGGGACGACTGACGATACGGGCCTAAGTTGAAAGATTAGTACTACTATAACCCTTGTGATTTATGTGTGACATTTGACAATGGATGTCTTTTGAGTGTCACATTACCCAAATTGTTAATAGTGCTAGTAGAGCTTTACATTTTCTTGTTATAAACTGTAAGTTTATGAAAGACTTGGCTGCATTAAAATCATTATTCTTCGTATATGATCGTTCCAAATTCGATTATGTTTCGTTGATTTGGAGTCATTAATTTTCAGATAATGATTGTAGAAGGAAGATAAACCAAAATATGTGTGTAAAAATAAAAAAAAATTAAAAAAAAATTTTTACCCTGTTTTATAAAGTATCCTCCCGACAAGTATTTCAGTGCGGACCTGTATTTGATCGTGAGGTCCCCTGTGAGGTCTTAAGTCACCTGATTCACGAGCCCGTTGTACTACATTAACAAAGACACGAGGGGTTGGTTGCACACGATCGGGAAACCGATCCGCATAAACATGTGCCATTTTTTATTTCGTTTGAGCCACGCAACAGACACTATTCACACGCGACTGACACTGACTGTATGTATAACTGAACTGAATAACATATTTGTAAAAACATCGTTCCAAATTCTTTCGCTTTTTTGTTTCCGATCAGATCTACTCACTGTTAAAATAAATGACTCAACTTCGAAGTCACTACTAAGTGACAAAGTGACATATAAAATGCAACACAACATAATTATTTATTGAATTTTGACGCTGATAGAACGTTGAAGGCATCCGAGACGCCCCTCGTACCAGCAAGGATGGGAATAATACAACGGGTATAATTTTATACACATTTATTCAGTATCTTTTGATTTACATTGGCGTATGGACATCATACTAATAGTTTGTAAAATATTTTGAATGTTCTAATTATCACTTAATATTTACCTATAGGAAATAGGAAGAATATAGATTTTTCAGAGAGTATCTATATAAATCGAAGGATTTTAGATTTTTAGTGGTCCTCAAATTGATAATAAAAATGTACATATCACCCTGTCCTCAGCCTGCCAAAATTTCATGCCGATGATATATAAAAGTGACAGTTTGCAGCATCTAGATTACAGTTGGAAAATGGCCGCTTGAGGCGCTAGCATCGCAATTCTATACAAAGGAAAATGATGCAAAAGCGTGTTTATACAGGGTAATCATTTGAAACTTACCACAACCAAAACCACTGATTGAAAGAAAAACGCCGAGACATGTCAAGAAGGACAGCTTTTAACCAAAAACGTCACCTCCTTCCACCCTCGGCCCCCAGGGTCATTTCCTTAAAAATTTTAAATGACAAGGGGTATCGAGTAATAGCCTTCAAAGTGCTTGATTTTTTAAAATTAATCGATTCGTTTTCGGATGTCGAGCGATAAACCTGACGACAGTTGACCGAGCACATTGATTTTGGGCAGCATAAATTAGAACCATTTCCACTCTTGCAGATAGTGCGTAAAACATTTTGAGAATAAAATCTGAATTAATAAAGATTGTCACAAAGGTAACTGACAGCATATTAAATCCTTTGTTTTCCTTAGCAACAAAAAACTAAACAGGTATAACAATAAATACAGTTCGCCCAGGATATCTGGTTGATGAAAAGAATGCGGAAAAAATTCGGGTTGTGATTTGGTTGTAGCCGCGTCTAATCTGGTTATTTATGTTGGTAGCTTCCGTTTTCAATTATAAACGAATTGTAGATTTGGCAAACCCTAATATTTTGAACACTTATTGAAATAAAAAGTGATATTTTCGTGAGTTTAAGATAAATAAGGATATTTCTAATTTTCTTGAAAACGAATAGACCGATTTCAAAAAATCAAACGTCAAAATGAAGGAAAGATATCGCTCGATATCATTGTCATTGAAAATTTTAAAGGGAATGACCCAAAGGGTGAAAAGGGGTAAAAAAGTCGTCCCCTTTAAAAACTTTTCAACGTGTCTCGGCGTCTTTTCTTTTAATCAGTGGTTCCCAAATGAACATCCGCAAACAAAATGTCATTTTAACGGAACTCATCAGCTCTCTAATTTTAGTGGAGCGCCTGCAGAGTAAGGCAAACTGTCACCCTTATACCACAATAAATATCGAGGGAAGTCGGGATTTTCTTTATGCAAACTACTACTTAACTCAAAGCTATTGGTACTTTTCGGAGCCAGAAGATGGTATGGAAGACGGCAGGGAGCGGAAGCACGTCTGCGATTTTTTTTGCCAATGATATTGAGCACACGCCTCCACCGAACAATGTACTGAGTAAGCATGATTTTCTGCAAAATTTAATGACGTTATCAGGAATGAAATGCTATGATTTATAAAAGCTGAGCCCAACTTGAAAGGTAGTACCGAGAAGAAACCCAAACTGTAAAGGCACATCCCAACTTCCATCTGCAATATTTCCTGTATTCAAACCTGAGAACAAATCAGTGTATAAAATCTTCTCATAAATAAAAATAGCACCATAGGGCGTATAAAGAATAAAAATGAAAATAACATCAGGGAAAAACCCAATGACAAACTAATGGTAGACAGAGAAGAGCTGCATATATAGGGCGTCCATATTTCTATAAAACCAAACTGACTATAAATACAATGTCATCATTCGAACATGGTCGCTCTGTATATGAAGTTGGAAGATATTTGGTTCTGAAAACATGACTATTTCTTAAAGCTATAAATGCACACATATAAAATAACGATTCACTAAATATCAATAATCAATAGACTAGAATCACATATATAATTTACATAAATATCTTTTTAAAAGAATATCTACCAGTACAAAGTGAAATATTTGGTTTTGATTATTTTATTCAAGGCATCTCAAAAAGTTCATTTGTCGGAAAAAATTACCAAGCAATTGTTAAAGAATACCACAACCTTTTGAGTTAATTTAATAAGCAAATTGAGAGATGTTAGTATTATTAAAAAAAAGAATAATATGTGATGTAGTTGGTGATGTAATTATTTAATCACAGAAGTTGCTGTTGTGCGTCGACAAAACTGTTGTGTTATTTATACTACATCAAAATGTTTCATATATTCATTTCAAGGTTTGTTTCTGCTCTTCAATTCCTATTTGACACATATGGATATATATGTATCTTTACCTGTTTCTGTATGCAATAATCTGGAACTTAGATTCTCTTTTGCAAAATTTCAATTACCGATACCACAGAAATAATCGCAAACGTCCTGACTTATATCCAATTTCATAGATTAAATGAGTATTTCTTAGGTAAACTAAATATATCGATATCAATTTTTAAAAAAGTAAGATTTTTTAATATGCTATCGGTCATGATATGACGTCATAGAAATTGTAAACAAAGAAACGTCATCCGTATGTCACTCGTGGATTGAAATTGTCTTCTTTAAGTATTTCTAAAACATCCTTAATCAACGTAAAAAGTTGTCGATTCTCGTTTTATTGAAAACACAATCATGGACTTTGGATTCGTAAGAAAATCCTACGGTGACGCACAGTAAAATGTAAAATATGTACCGAACTTCACGTATTGCCTATATGCATTCCTCTGGGCTCTTTATCGATGTTTTTTTTTACATTTTTGGACGATAAAACAGCAATAATTATCTACTATATTTTTCTTGTAAACTAGTAGATGTCATGTTTATATGCTTAAAGGTTTTAGAGGTTATGCTACTGTCAGATGCTGTTTACAACTGGTATGACGTCATAGCACATTAATATGGCCAAACATGGCATACAGCGTTTTCTAATGTCTAAGAATAATATATTTTTTAAATAAAAGTTTTTAAGGATTGAAAAATATAGTATTTTTTTTTTGGTCTAATAGAACTATTTAAGACCTTCTTAAAAAAGTTATTATAGCATAAATTGGCTGGTCGATAAGGTTAAAAATTTAAATTAAATTTACTTATATGTTATGAATATTGCGATAGACGTTAGGAAATAAATGAGTTTCGTGCAGGCTTAATTTGCGAACTACTTCTTGAGACACCTTGTAAAATTTGATTTGTTAAATAGATTTGATGTTTCCTTTTTTGGATCAAAGTAAACAACTATCTAAAAAGATACTTTTTAAAATAGATACTAACACATTGTACTAATTTCCATAATAAGAGACGCTGCAACATTTCAGGATAATTGATCCAAACAATATCGATTTTCGAAACTAACATAAACGGTACACGAAATGGTATGCGGAAAAACGGCTTTTAACCATATCGAATAACATTCAGCTTATCATTTTCCCACTTTACTTGATATGGAGGCAAATTCTTCAAGACCCCGAATATCAACATTATAAGATAGATAAAAAACTCAATGGAGGATTTATCCTCCTTAACAAAATATTCTCATAAGACTAACGTTTGCACTTGTTCCTAAATTACCCTTAGTTTTCTCCTACCCTCTGAAAATCAATGTCCAATTGGTCAAAATTTCGTATAGGCTTAACGTAATATCCATTATTTGGATCATAATCAAGTAAAATGGAGTGGTTTGCAACCATTTGCTTTTTGATAAAGTATATACACACATTTTTTTTTAGTGCAATCGAGTATTCTTGGACACGACACATTGACAGTCTGCTATTTTGATAAGCGGATCAGTTTATAGGGGACCAGTCACAAACGTACGGAATTTGGGCACCAACCAAATTTGATGAAAATTGATATAGTGCTAGTTTATTTTGTGCTGATCAAAAGTTCCGAAGCTCAGAATGCTTTTTATTGGAGATACTGGATGTTCAAGTTTGGTTGGCCCTAGTGTGTATGCCTACCCGCAACATTTCACGAACAGTAACTAATCTTTAATGGATTCAGTGAAAATAACGATATAATAAAATCACGTGAACACACAATATACTTTGAAGTTGAGTCATTTATTTTAACAGTGAGTAGATCTGATCAAAGAAATGTTTTTTTTCCTTTACCATTTTTCTGGTAAAATTAAAGGAACAAAGTTATAGCCCTTTGGAAGTTTGAGTACCGCCCTGTCTCAATAATAATATTATGTGCTCGTGTTTGGCGACAACGGATATAATCCGCCTTATCGGTTCATCGCATCGGAAACAAAAAAGCGAAAGAATTTGGAACGATGTTTTTACAATTATTTTATTCAGTTGTATACAGTCAGTGTCAGTCGGTAACGCGTGAGTGAATAGTGGTGTCTGTTGCGTGGCTCAAACGAAATCAAAAATGGCACATGTTTATGCGGATCGGTTTCCCAATCGTGCCTTTGTTAATGTAGTACAACGGGCTCGTGAATCAGGTGACTTAAGACCTCACAGGGGACGGCATGCCGGTGCTCCAAGACCTCACGATCAAATACAGGTCCGCACTGAAATACTTGTCAGGAGGATACTTTATAAAACAAGGTAACATTCTTTTATTATTTTTTTTATTTTTACACACATATTTTGGTTTATCTTCCTTCTACAATCATTATCTGAAAATTAATGACTCGACTTCAAAGTCACCCTGTATACAGGGCGTCCCACATAAGATCGACATGAGGAGCTATATAAGATATTCAAAAACGGTTTGCGCAACAATTTAACATTTTATGGGTGTGTATCTTCAAATTAATTGGAAAGATACAGGGTGTTGCACAATTCAGAGGACACAACAACCTTGTTTTTTTAATGGACACTTTGTATCAGATATTTGGAAAGACCATGCAAAAAATAGAAGATTGATATAATATACTGTAGGATTTTATCATTTGCTTAGTTATTTTATCATTTTTTTCCTAGTTTTCGACTAAATTTTGGAAAGAGGATAAATAACTACGCCTACTTTATCAGGGAGCTGCAAAATTCACACCTTTTAAATGGAACATGCTGAACAGTTTTACACCGCATACACGATGGCGGCCTAAAAAGGAAAACGTAAAATTTGAAAAAAATATCGGACCGCCCTCGTAGATCGTGGAGAACGAACAGTTTTTTTCTAGCAACATATCCCTCAAAGTTTTAAGATTAATCAGATGCTAAACAAAACCTAATCCGGTCCTGCACCTTGATCAGATCAAACGTGAACACGGACGATGCGCATCAGTACTCAATCCAGGCGCTGGCCGCGTTAGTAAACAAAACCTTTACACATCGGTTTTGAAAAAACAAAAATGTCCAAATTATTTTAATTTCCGGTGAGCGTCTTCGAAATGCTACCGAGGCTTCGCAAGTTCATGCAGATCGTTTTTCACCTTCTTGATTTCTTTTCTGGTTTGGGGTAAATGAAATAGTTAGTGTATAAAACTAAGGTGAACACTGTTGACGAACTACGTGTTCGAATTTGCAATCTGTGAAGTCTGCAATAAAGACGAGTTAGTTTTCATAAAACGATGAAGGCAGGCTTACCCACTAACTTTAACACCCTGTATCTTCAACAGAACGCATTTCTCGGCTTTGCACTCATTGATTAGCACAATTACAATTACTATACCAATTTCCATTAAAATTGCCCGGTGGTCAAATTCCATATGTTTTGTGCCTGCAGCGGGTTATTTTCTGACTGAAGCAATTTGACATTTTATATTCCGCGAAAAATAAAGTAACCGCTGTGGGTTTGATAATGTTTGAAGATTCTTTCACGTTCATTATTCCAAAGGTGATGACATTGCAAAATTTGATCACCAAACGATAACCTGGAATTCTTGATGATGGTGGGATTCCCATATTGGTAAACGACAGTCTTTTTAAGATTCTTAATTTGGATTTGTAGATTTTCAAATGATACAATATCCATTATACATACTTAACTATTTCCTGCATACTTGTGCTATTTTATGGCAATTGATTTACATAATAAGTAATAAAAAATAATTTCTAAAAGAATCTTTTCCCCATAATCCTTGCGTGGTCACTGGACTTCATAAATTTAATCAAGTTAGGGCTAAATTAGCTCCTTAATGTTATAAATACCACCGCCAAATTACCACAAAATTCGGTGAAGGATATTTAAGATATTTACGAAAAAACATTTTTGTGTCTGCAGAACGAAGAATTTATGTTTATATGAAAGTTTGTCTTGAAATAACTCAAATTAAAATTAAGGTACATAAAGCATGTGCCACCGTTGTGTTTTCTTGTAAATGCATAATTTTTTCTAAAACAGAGATGGAGTTTTATATTTTGTGTATCACCAATCAGTATAACGATTTGCTGTGAAAATATATGATGCACAATTACATTTTCGCACCAGACTTCTACCGAAGCTTTAATGACGCACTTCATTAGTTAAATTTGTTACTTTTACTGTATTCACTTGAACAAACAAGTTGAAATTAACTGCATGATGTAGTGCGCTTTGGGAATAGCATAATAGTAAAATATAATAATTTTTTTTCTCGTATTAAGAAATCGGCAAAAACACCATCGTAGTTACAAATACATCTTGGTATATCTAAATAACGAATACTTTGTTTCCTCTGTTTCCACTTTTGTTTCGCGGAAGGAGATCTCTTTGTTGATATGTCCTATATATGTGTATAGCTTCTTTTGTGTTCAAGAGTCTCATCTGCCACCGGAGCGAATTAGGCCTACTGTGTACCCGAGCTTCATTCTTTATGAGGTTAATACTAAGAGAGATCCCGAAATGTCTTTTTCACTGGTACGTACACTAGAGGGGATTTACGAGGGCTGTCCGATAACTACTTAGCTCACCAGCCTCGTAGTTTTGTTTTGACCGCGTGTGGACGCGGGCGTGTCCGCGGATTTTGGAAAAATGGAAAAACAGTATCGCTCGGTGAATCGATTCTTGTTTTCGGACGGGAAATCGCACAGCGACATCAAAGAGCACTTGGATGCTGTGTATGGTGACTATTCTCCTCTTTGGTTTAATCTTTAATCGGTCTAATTAGGCTACGAGCTAAATTCTTTTACCCGAGACATTATTTTGGGAAATAACACGGTCCGAGGTCTACCCCTAGGCAAGCAGTGATATTGTGTATTTACGATCAGTTGCGAACTTTCCATCTCTGCACGTCTGTCAGGTTTTTGAGATTGTTTTGTTTTCATTGGGCAAAACTGGGTATAATATTAGACAGTTCGGTTTGTGAAATTGCAATTTCTCATTCGTTATTATTATTTTTTGTCATCGACTATGTGCAGTATAGAATTTTGGAATGCCCTCCTACTTTTGGCATTGATTGTGTAGTGCGCGAGTGATCTTCGTAGCCTTAATAATGTCTGGACTGACCGTAGCCTTAAGGCCGATGAAAGTGGTTCACCTTGAACCGAAAGTGACGCGGCAGTCGGCCGCCAACCGTCGAATGTATCACATCTGTTTGAGTTTGATCTGTTAGATTATTTTTGTTTGTAAAGTTTGAGTAAAGTGAGTCCCCGAAACCGTGTGTTACTACTGCCCACTTCCCACGTATATTGGAGTCCTGCACTTCAATTGACAGAAGTCTGGAGTCCGTCATTTGTTTCCTGTTGTCGCTTTGGTTGTGCGTGGATCATCCCTTTGATTTCCACATTTTGGGATATTCGGCCTCAATCACCAGTTTATGGAGTAGCACCTTTCTTTATGTTGCGTATTTACGTTTAGTTCCGAACTTTGCATCTCTGAACTCCTAACAGGTTTTTTGGGATCGTTTTATTTTCCTTGGGCAAAACTGGATAGAATATTAGACAGTTTGATTTGGGAAATCGCAACTTCTCATTTGTTATTATAATTTGTTTTGGCATCGGCTCCGTGGAGTATAAAATTTTGGAACGCCCTCCTACTTTTGACATTGATTGTCCGGAGTCCGTAATTTTTTTCCTTTCCTGTTGCGGCTTTGGTTGTGCGTGGGTCATCCCTTTGATTTCCACATTTTGGAATATTCGGCCCCAATCACCAGTTTATGGAGTAGCACCTTTTTTATGTATCTACCTTACGTTTAGTTGTTTGTTTTGTTTTGGGTTGTGAACTCTTTTACCCGCGACATTATTTTGGAAAATAACACGGTCTCGAGGTCTACCTATAGGCAACCAATGATGTTGCGTGTTTTCGTTCAGTTCCGAACTTTGCATCTCTGAACGCCTGTCAGGTTTTTGGGATCGATTTATTTTCATTGGGCAAAACTGGGTAGAATATTAGACAGTTTGATTTGGGAAATCGCAACTTCTCATTCGTTATTATAATTTGTTTTGGCATCGGCTCTGTGGAGTATAAAATTTTGGAACGCCCTCCTATTTTTGCCTTTGATTGCCTGGAGTTCGTAATTTTTTTCCTTTCCTGTTGCGGCTTTGGTTGTGCGTGGGTCATCCCTTTGATTTCCAAATTTTGCGATATTCGACCCCAATCACTAGTTTATGAAGTAGCACCTTTTTATGCATCTACCTTACGTTTAGTTGTTTGTTTTGGTTTGGGATGTACACTCTTTTACCCGCGACATTATTTTTTGAAATAACACGGTCTCAAGGTCTACCCATAGGCAACCAGTGATGTTGCGTATTTTCGTTCAGTTCCGAACTTTGCATCTCTGAACGCCTGTCAGGTTTTTGGGATCGATTTATTTTCATTGGGCAAAACTGGGTAGAATATTATACAGTTTGATTTGGGAAATCGCAACTTCTCATTCGTTATTATAATTTGTTTTGGCATCGGCTCCGTGGAGTATAAAACTTTGGAACGCCCTCCTACTTTTGACATTGATTGTCTGGAGTCCCTAATTTTTTTTCCTTTCCTGTTGCGGCTTTGGTTGTGCGTGGGTCATCCCTTTGATTTCCACATTTTGGGATGTTCGGCCCGAATCACCAGTTTATGGAGTAGCACCTTCTTTATGTATCTACCTTACGTTTAGTTGTTTGTTTTGGTTTGGGACGTAAACTCTTTTACCCGCGACATTATTTTGGGAAATAACACGGTATCGAGGTCTACCCATAGGCAACCAGTGATGTTGCATATTTTCGTTCAGTTCCGAACTTTGCATCTCTGAACGCCTGTCAGGTTTTTGGAATCGTTTTATTTTCCTTGGGCAAAACTGGGTAGAATATTAGACAGTTCGGTTTGTGAAATTGCAATTTCTCATTCGTTATTATTTCTTTTTGGCATCGGCTCTGTGGAGTATAAAATTTTGGAACGCCCTCCTACTTTTGGCATTGATTGTCTGGAGTCCCTAATTTTTTTTCCTTTCCTGTTGCGGCTTTGGTTGTGCGTGGGTCATCCCTTTGATTTCCACATTTTGGGATGTTCGGCCCGAATCACCAGTTTATGGAGTTAGCACCTTCTTTATGTATCTACGTTACGTTTAGTTGTTTGTTTTGGTTTGGGATGTAAACTCTTTTACCCGCGACATTATTTTGGGAAATAACACGGTCTCGAGGTCTACCCATAGGCAACCAGTGATGTTGCATGTTTTCGTTCAGTTCCGAACTTTGCATCTCTGAACGCCTGTCAGGTTTTTGGGCTCGATTTATTTTCATTGGGTAAAACTGGGTAGAATATTAGACAGTTTGATTTGGGAGATCGCAACTTCTCATTCGTTATTATAATTTGTTTTGGCATCGGCTCCGTGGAGTATAAAATTTTGGTACGCCCTCCTACTTTTGACATTAATTGTCTGGAGTCCCTAATTTTTTTTCCTTTCCTGCTGCGGCTTTGGTTGTGCGTGGGTCATCCCTTTGATTTCCACATTTGGGATGTTCGGCCCGAATCACCAGTTTATGGAGTAGCACCTTCTTTATGTATCTACCTTACGTTCAGTTGTTTGTTTTGGTTTGGGACGTAAACTCTTTTACCCGCGACATTATTTTGGGAAATAACACGGTCTCGAGGTCTACCCATAGGCAACCAGTGATGTTGCGTATTTACGTTCAGTTGCGAACTTTTCATCTCTGAACGCCTGTCAGGTTTTTGGGATCGATTTATTTTCATTGGGCAAAACTGGGTAGAATATTAGACAGTTTGGTTTGGGAAATCGCCACTTCCATTCGTTATTATAATTTGTTTTGGCGTCGGCTCCGTGGAGTATAAAATTTTGGTACGCCCTCCTACTTTTGACATTGATTGTCTGGAGTCCGTAATTTTTTTCCTTTCCTGTTGCGGCTTTGGTTGTGCGTGGGTCATCCCTTTGATTTCCACATTTTGGAATATTCGGCCCCAATCACCAGTTTATGGAGTAGCACCTTTTTTATGTATCTACCTTACGTTTAGTTGTTTGTTTTGTTTTGGGTTGTGAACTCTTTTACCCGCGACATTATTTTGGAAAATAACACGGTCTCGAGGTCTAGCCATAGGCAACCAGTGATGTTGCGAATTTACGTTCAGTTCCAAACTTTGCATGGTTTTTGGGATCGATTTATTTTCATTGGGCAAAACTGGGCAGAATGTTATAGACAGTTTAATTTGGGAAATCGCAACTTCGCATTCGTTATTATAAGTTGTTTTGGCATCGGCTCCGTGGAGTATAAAATTTTGGAACGCCCTCCTACTTTTGACATTGATTGTATGGAGTCCCTAATTTTTTTTCCTTTCCTGTTGCGGCTTTGGTTGTACGTGGGTCATCCCTTTGATTTCCACATTTTGGGATGTTCGGCCCGAATCACCAGTTTATGGAGTAGCACCTTCTTTATGCATCTACCTTACGTTTAGTTGTTTGTTTTGGTTTGGGACGTAAACTCTTTTACCCGCGACATTATTTTGGGAAATAACACGGTATCGAGGTCTACCCATAGGCAACCAGTGATGTTGCGAATTTACGTTCAGTTGCGAACTTTTCATCTCTAAACGCTTATCAGGTTTTTGGGATTGTTTTGTAAGCATAATGAGTTAAAAGGAGAGTATATTGAGAAATAAATCGCCACTTTTCCAAATTTCCGTTTTTCTTGTGTTGACTAAGTATTTATCGGTCCGCCCTCGTAGAGTAGATATACGATTCCATGGCAGGCTACGGTAGGAGTGTTCCTGTTACGCATATTAAAACCTTTTTAGCTAGTTTGTACTTTACATTTTGTCAGAATGAAGGACAAAAAATCAAGGGGCAATTATTCGCATTTATGTAACATCTAAAACTTATCCTTTGGTTTGCATGCCCCATGTTTGGCGAATGAAACCACAAATATTTAAAAGTCACAACGGAATATACAACCGGCCATGGAATCATGTATAAAGACATAGTCTGAAGAGAAAGGAAATAAATAGGACACTGGTAGAGCTATCATTACACATTCTCCTTGGGATTTGGCTTATATTTACAGCATCGACAGAAGATGTAGCCGACGAACGTGGTCTCCCGCTCAGCGGGGGGCATCTGGAAACATTAAAATCGTCGAGTTAGTAGGGTCCATATTATTGTAAAATCTGTGCAAACATTGATAGTAACTCCACGCGTAATTGACTGTAATAAGTACGAGGGTTGTTGCAAAAATAAGGTTCCCACTACAAATAAAGTAAGGAAAAACTTAAAACGGTATGTCCGTCTGTTTCAGAAAGTACCTTGAGTTCGAAACTTTCTATGCAGCATTTTCTTAATTACCTTCTACATCCGCGTCTAGAAATGTTTAAATGCTTGAAGGTCTTGACGCAATTATTGTTACTCTACTCATTTTTTCTTGGATAAACGTATATCCTCACCTCTTGTCATATCATTGGAGGCGGTTCCCTTTCCTTCACGACAGCTACGGACAATTCTTCGGCTTTCATTTCCTGCAGTTTGGCGATACATTTGTCTACTACATTGTTGCTGACCGAGTTCAACAGCTGAGGCTGATGTCGCTCCTGGCAGTCTTTTTTATGGGGCGACGTTTGCGGAGTACCACCTCCTGCAACACAAATGACGAGGGAGGTTCGTTAAATAAAATTATAATAAAATTAACTGAATAAAGCGTACAAAGCGTGGGGTGTTTGTTATGTTAAATGTTACAATCATTCTATTGGAGACTATCTACAGGGTGACTTCGAAGTTGAGTCATTTATTTTAACAGTGAGTAGATCTGATCAAAGAAATGTTTTTTCCTTTACCATTTTTTTGGTAAAATTAAAGTAACAAAGTTATAGCCCTTTGGAAGTTTGAGTACCGCCCTGTCTCAATAATAATATTATGTGCTCGTGTTTGGCGACAACGGATATAATCCGCCTTATAGGTTCATCGCATCGGAAACAAAAAAGTGAAAGAATTTGGAACGATGTTTTTACAATTATTTTATTCAGTTGTATACAGACAGTGTCAGTCGGTAACGCGTGAGTGAATAGTGGTGTCTGTTGCGTGGCTCAAACGAAATCAAAAATTTCACATGTTTACGAAAATGCTGAACTTGTGGACATCATTCTTATTTACGCGGCATTACGGATTTATGCGGATCGGTTTCCCAATCGAGTGCAACCAACCCCTCGTGCCTTTGTTAATGTAGTACAAAGGGCTCGTGAATCAGGTGACTTAAGACCTCACAAATACAGGTCCGCACTGAAATACTTGTCGGGAGGATACTTTATAAAACAAGGTATTTTTTTTTATTTTTACACACATATTTTGGTTTATCTTCCTTCTACAATCATTATCTGAAAATTAATGACTCAACTTCAAAGTCACCCTGTATAAGAGGAGAGTTATGAAAATGTAGTGAAATCCGCCCCACGCTTTTTAGTCTGAATTGAATTATTTTGTTAATCACTTAAATTTTATTATAATTTTATTTTGAGGTCAATAATTATGATTGATTGTTCGACCGTCTACTACTCTAATATAAGCTCTTTGTAATTAAAAATTATTTTATAGTTTTCAGTTCGGTTGGCTATAAAGGGTGTTTTTTTAGTTTTTTTAAACTATCTATTTTTCATTTTTCTAGTTTTTTGTGGACATATGTTATCGACATATCTTACGAATCATTTCGTAATCTAAACATTTCATTTAAAGCTTCACTGTTGCATTTTCCTGTTAACTTAGATCTATCAAGTTCTTCAATCCGAATACCGTTTAAAGATCTTACACTACATAATCTTGTCAAGCAACAAACAGTCGCAAGCCTAGATTAATGGTAACATTCGCAATGAACAAGGTGAGAATGCACTATCTTGAAAAACTGTCTGCCTTTGTTGTGCTGTGCCGAGTGCCTTTACCAACAAAGAGTAAGTCTGAAACTGCACGCACGCGCAGATTGCGCGCCAGCTCTATGTCTCTTAATCCCCTACAGACGATCTATACTAAGTGACATATAAATCCGAACACCCAGTTTAAATGGTTTTATTTTAATAAAAGTTGGTGAATGTATTTATCTTACTGTAAATAACAAGTGAACAAATTTTCAGCCTTATCAGTTGGACATTCCGGTTTTTATACTGCTTTTTTTTTAATTCACTAACGCTCTAAAAATGAATATTTCAGCCGCAGTAAAGAATCAACGTTGGCGGATTTTGGTTCTTGACATCCTTTACGATCGGTTACGATGCCTAGAGTACGGAGACCTGTACGATTTCGTCAACTTAGTGAGTTTGATAGGGGCCGTATAGTGGGACTTCGGGAAGCTGGACTTTCTTTTCGGGCAATTGCAGTTAGAGTGCAAAGAAGTGTAGACACTGTGGTTAGGTTTTGTCAGGCATGGCTTCGAGAAGGCCGTACGCAAAGAGCAAGGGGCACTGGACGCCGCCGTAGAACAACAGACCGTGAAGATCGCCGCCTAAGATTATTGGTCTTAAGGGACCGTTTCTCCACTACCAGGTCCATTGCAAATGAATGGTTTGCAGAACACGGAAGACCTATTGGCATGCGAAGTGTTTACCGACGAATGAGAAGTTTTGGCTTGTTTTCATACCGGCCACACTGGGTCCTCCCTTTAAATCGAGAACACCGACGTAATCGCCTTGAGTGGTGCAGACAACGGTCACTCTGGATCAGGAATGGAACAGTATTGTCTTTAGTGACGAGTCTCGATTTTGTTTAGGCATGCACGATGGTCGTGCCAGGGTTAAAAGGCGACGTGGTGAAAGGAGGAATCCACAGTTTTTTGTTGAAAGACATGTTCATCACACTGTTGGAGTTATGGTTTGGGGTGCTATAGCTTATGGTTCCAGGTCACCTTTAATCTTCATCAGAGGTAACATGAATGCGCAGCGTTATATCCACGAAGTTCTAGAACCCCATCTTTTACCCTATCTTGACACCCTGGCAGATCCAACTTTCCAACAAGATAATGCCCGACCACATGTTGCAAGAGTCACAATAGACTTCTTTCTACATAATGATGTCACATTGTTAGCATGGTCACCAAGATCTCCCGACTTATCCCCAATTGAGCACGTGTGGGATATGATGGGTAGGAGATTGCTCAATTTGCAACGTCCTCCTCAGACTGTAGAAGCACTTCGAGAGGAGTTGGTGGTTGCCTGGAATGAGATACCACAGGAGGACATTGACCACCTGATCAGAAGCATGCCTAGGCGCGTTGGAGAATGCGTAGCACATCAGGGTGCATCCACACATTATTAAAGGTCAAAGGGCTTTAAAGCAGTGCAATCATTTTGAAATTTTTATCATTTACTTATTATGCTTCATTAAGTACTTATACAAAATTTTATTAAAATAAAACCATTTAAACTGGGTGTTCGGATTTATATGTCACTTAGTATATAAAAGAATTTATCAATCCTGGTGGATAATGTCATCGGTCCTTGATGCTCAAAGATTTCAATAAAAGCGTGTTAAAAGTAATATACAAGGTGTTCGAAAAATAAACGGAGATATTTTAGAGAGTGATTTCTTGTTAAAAAATGTGAAAAAAGTTTCTATAAAGATGGGTCGGGAAATTCAGAATTTTACAGATACAGGGTGATACGCTTAGTATTTTATTTTTTATTAATATCGTACAAAATATTTACTCGATCTTATTGAAATTTGGCAATATTATTTGTTGTATTAAGAGGCTAAACTAGCTCTAGCTATGTTGCAATTATTAGGTCCAGTGGCGTCCCGGGGACACCTTGGCGAATAATATTGGCAAAAAAATGTACACGACTGCATTTTTTGTAACTTTAATATTTGTTGTTTCATTGAGCATCTAAAAAGACAACATATTTGCCTCTTGTATTTTTTTCGTACCTTACTTTGTTTTTTAGTTTATTAATTTTTCATTATTCACGCGATTTTATTTGCGAAATTTCTCTAAAAAGGTTATTCCGATTTATGACTCTGTATCTTGAAAACTATGCATTACCAGACCCATGTTTATAGGCATTTTTTCCATATTTTTTAACAAGGAATCACTCTCTGAAATATCTCCGTCTATTTTTCGAACACCCTGTAGATATGTGTTTCAGGTTAATTGTATCGTAGTTCAAATATGTCTGTTTTATTGCCATTTAAAACCATTTGGTGTTCCAGGTTCTAAACACTAGTGATTATTAACAAAACTATGATGGACTTTTTCAAGTATAGGTCATCATTTTAATGACAAAGACTACACAGGGTTTGTCCGGAAAGTAATAGAACTCATTTCCTTCCGCCATGACCGTTAGCAAGGTGAATTCAAAATGAGTGGACACAGGCTTTGAACTTACTCAAGTTTATTCAAAACGAATTTACTACGCGACAAGCATGGTTAGCGGGCAACTTATGACAACTAATTGTCAATTGTCATACTACTTGACATTTCATTACTTCATAAGTTTCTTTTATGAACAGCACACATTCTGACCTAACCTAAATAAAACTAACTGAGCGACGCTTACGATTTGACACAATCTTACCTCCCCCATTCCCGCTGTTAAGACACACGGAGATATCTTCTGGCGTTTTTGAATGTTTGACGTTCATAATTGAGGTTAGGTATCTTTAATGTTTATAAATAATTTCCCATACTCTATGCAGGGTGTTTCAGTTTATTGTTGCATAACTTTAAGATTCGATAGAACTTTTAAAATTAATGCATAAAGTCTATATAAACATGCGTGGCTTCCGAAATACAGGGTGTTTAAATTTACTTTCTAAAATAGTATTTGGACCATACCTTTTGCCTGCAAGGTTAAATGCTGCAAATATATGGGATGATGTTATGTTAGATTTAAGAAGATTGTCCTGGTTCCAGCTTGATGGTTGTCCAGCTCATTATTCGAGAATAGTTAGAAACTGGCTGGACGAAAATTATCCAGAAAGATGGATCGGCCGTGGAGGACCAGTCGCCTGGCCTCCACGATCCCCTGACCTAAGTCCATCAGATTTCTTTGTGTGGGGATTTCTAAAAGAAAAAGTGTACCAGACTCCCGTAACCATAAGAGATATTGCTAATAGACAGAATCAGGAATGCATGTGATGAAATAAGGCCTTATTTGAATAATGCTATACCACGTTCGATCATTCGTAGATGTGAATTGTGTATTGAACAATTGGGTTTACATTTCGAGCAACTACTTTAGATTTTGTATGTTTGTCCTAACTATCCAACAGCATTTTAGTTGTAAATAATTAATTTAATTTGTTAAAAATAATATTGGAAAATTAAAAAAATTAATATTCTGTTTTTTTGTGTTTATTTGGAGTTAGGAATTATTGCTGCGTTTAAAAACACAATCTAAACGATCATCATAATTACTTGTAATGCCCAAATCGAAAATGCAAAAAAAATATTATTTTCCCATAAATAATTAAAAATGCATCGAACCTTAAAAATCGAAATATCTCAAAAACGGCTAACTATAACGAAAACTCACAACGGAGCTTTTTTATGTTGAAAAGTGCGAAGAATTAGTTTTTTTATTCAAAAAGCAAAAAATTGCACCAAGAAAAATTTTTCGGTCATTTTAATACACTACAGGTACAGTAGAGAGCGCCCTCTAGCGGCTACAGTAAAACTATGCCCATGGTTCGTTTTGTCGTACTAAAAAACCCTGGTATACCAGTTTTCACTATTATACATCAAATATTGTTCAAAATATTTAAAAAAAAACTATTTTAGAAAGTAAATTTAAACACCCCGTATTTCGGAAGCCACGCATCTTTCGACCCAAGTTTATATAGACTTTATGCATTAATTTTAAAAGTTCTATCGAATCTTAAAGTTATGCAACAGTAAACTGAAACACCCTGTATCTAAATCACTAAATTAATTATGGAGGAATACGAATTAAAGTTTCTCTTATTATTCACTCTTTGACAGTTGACAGGCCTGGTACATTCCTCTTGAAATCGTGCTTACGATCAACAACTTAGCACAGGTCAGAAAATCGCCAGTTCGTAAGCAACTACGAGTACAGTTTGCCGTTGGTCACTGAACAGTAAACAGTAATTTCGGTCCGTACCTTTGACGTTGCTGAAATTAGGACTGGCGCAGTTGCTCTGTACTCTCGACGTGGACGGCACTGATTGGTCGTCGCCTTCCCCTTCTGCCATAGCAACGGCGACCGGTTCCATCTCATCGACAGCCGCGTCCGAAGCCCAACCCTTGCCTCCTTTGCCCATCGACAGGAACTTCCAGCTCTTTTTACCGGCACCGCCGGTTCGTTTTGTTTTCGGTAAGGTGCTTGCCTTTGAGCCTTCGTGCAGGTCGCTACCCTTGCAACATCCCGCGCTCGACGTGTCTATCTTTCTGTGTTTGCTTTTTGACGCTGCAGAACATTCGGTTATGGTTAGTCTAACAGAAGTCTAGAATACCCAGGATGTTCTTAAGGCAACGTGTAATTGAATCGATCATCAAAGTCATCCCTTTTTAGGTAGATGCGTAATTTTGGAATAATGCACGTCAATACATTCCTTCCTCTTCAAGTAATACATCGTAATACACTTTCATTGCAACTAAAAATGTAAAAGCTGAAATTTTCAGGCTTTATTTTATATGGATTGAAACAGTTTTTACAATAAAATGAATAACGAAACGCTACCTTAATTTTTTTTATCGCCCTCGTTGAGGGATGGAAGAGATTTTTCACAAAAAAATGAATTTAAGATTTTTTTCGTTGATTTCTAATAAAAAAGTGATATAACCATTGCTAACTAAAAAATCACAGGCCTACACCTAATGGTTTGGTTGTAATTGCGATTGAAAGTTCATTATCCCGTTTTTTTCAAAATTTCACAATATTGCAAATATCTCCTGACCTATAAAATTGCGGACCACACATATAGGGGTTCACCCGATAGGTTTTGAGGTCCTCTACTAACTTTACACCCTGTATATACACTTTTTGGAGCAGTTCAGTAGAGTATCACTCTCAAACAAAAAAACCACTGGAAAGCAGCTTATGTATCCAATAATATTTCATAATAATTTTTTTTTTAAGGAAATGGATTTGCAAGATGTAGAACAACCTCGAATATTTTAGTGATGTCTTTCTAGCAAAATTAAACCAATTACTACATTTGTTTTGTTTCAGATTTATTTAGCATTAATGCTACAATATCCATAATATCCATATTACACAGTATGTAAATCATAAAATATATTATGTCTTCAAGACTACATATTCTTATACAAAATTTCACTACCATGAATTCTGGTTTTCCATGAGATATTTTTTCAATTTCCCTTTGAACATTTTCAAACTGACACACATCTTGATATCATTACTTAATTTATTAAGTTCGTACAATCCCTTTTGAAATACTGACTTGCTCGTTATATGAAAGTCTATACTTCCTCTAGTAGAATAATTGTGGCACTCATTGTTCAGTACAATAAAATTTCTAAGTGATTTGGTAGAAGATGATTTTTTAACTTAAATATGAAAATGAAAACCAAGTAGGGTATGAAATGTTTGATATTTAACCATTGTAGTTCCTTCAGAATAAAATTTATTCTAGTATATTTATTTTTATTTAAGATGATTCTCATAGCTTTATTTTATAATTTTGAAAATACAGTTTCATTTGAACAAAATAGTCGAACAATATAACAAATGAGGAAGAATGATAGTGTTGTACACAATTTTTTTAGAATAAACGCTTAGGCTAAGCGAAATTCTATAAAAGTAATTTATTGTCTTGAATATTAATATATTCATAGTGCCCTTCAAATTTTAATTTACTGTCTACGTATATACCCAAATGTTTATATGATCGGATTGACACCATTTTTTCATGATTAATTGTAAGATTTATCGTATTTTGATCTAAAGATTTTCCTATTAGCGTATATCTTGGTTTGTTTGTGTTTAGTATAAGTTTATTTACATTTAACCAATTTATTACGTTTTTCATATCATTATTTAACAGCTCTATTGCAGTTTCAACGTCTTTATTTGATATATATATATATATATATACAGGGTGACTTCGAAGTTGAGTCATTTATTTTAACAGTGAGTAGACCTGATCAAAAGAAATGTTTTTTTCCTTTACCATTTTTCTGGTAAAATTAAAGTAACAAAGTTATAGCCCTTTGGAAGTTTGAGTACCGCCCTGTCTCAATAATAATATTATGTGCTCGTGTTTGGCGACAACGGATATAATCCGCCGTATCGGTTCATCGCATCGGAAACAAAAAAGCGAAAGAATTTGGAACGATGTTTTTACAATTATTTCATTCATTTGTATACAGTCAGTGTCAGTGAATAGTGGTATCTGTTGCGTGGCTCAAACGAAATAAAAAATGGCACATGTTTATGCGGATCGGTTTCCCAATCGAGTGCAACCAACCCCTCGTGCCTTTGTTAATGTAGTACAACGGGCTCGTGAATCAGGTGACTTAAGACCTCACAGGGGACCTCACGATCAAATACAGGTCCGCACTGAAATACTTGTCGGGAGGATACTTTATAAAACAAGGTAAACATTTTTTTTTATTTTTTTTTTATTTTACACACATATTTTGGTTTATCTTCCTTCTACAATCATTATCTGGAAATTAATGACTCAACTTCAAAGTCACCCTGTATATATACAGGGTGTCCACAAAGTTGGGGATTTCCTTTTCAGAAACAACTACCCTTGAAATAACAAAGGTAATGTGTAGTGAAACGAGGGCGACCAAGTAAAAAAAAATAAAGGAAAAAGTACTCACTCTCCAGTTGACGAGAAGGGCTAAGTACGTCTCTGCCCGAAATCATACCGCTCCAACAGAAAATGAAATCAGCTGATGCGCTACCGAGCAGACGCAGAAACCACATTGATTGTCTTACACTTAATGGCACATCTTCTAACAAGGAAGGCAAAATGTTGCGTAAAAAGTCTAGGTATTGCATCTCGTCCAATCGATTTGGGAGAATAAATGGTCCAATGAGCATAGCGTTCACCATGCCAGCCCAAATATTCACAGAAAATGTTTGTTGAAAATGTGCCCGACGGACAGCGTGCGGATTTTCTACTGACCAAACATGAGTGTTATTCACCCCATTACGCGTGAACGTCGTCGTCACCAATATGCACTTCAAAAAGTCCGGATTATTGTCATGTTGATGCAACAACCACCCACAAAACCGCACTCTTGCTGGAAAATCGTCAGGTTGAAGGGCTTGTACACGTTGGACGTGAAACGGATACAGCCCCTCTTCACGCAGCGTTTGCCACACTTTAGTTTTTGATACTTGCACTTCTCTAGCCACGTCTCTAGTGCTTGTTGAGGGATTCTCGTCTACGCGATTACCTCTACACGCGTGACCGCAACCGTCGGTTGAAGGTTGCATACTGACCTGACACACTGACCCCGACAAAGTTCTGTCGTCGGGTTGAGCCAGTGACCTTGTACCACTCGGTGATATCGCGGCTACAGGACGGTATTCAGATATTTTTGACGTTGCAGAGCCCTTTATCTCGGTTCTCTTAAGACATTGGTGTATATGGTACTAAGAAAAATTGCTTATGTTTTCAAGATCTACACGTCGTGTAAAGGAAAACCCCAACTTTGCGTATATATATATACAGGGTGACTTTGAAGTTGAGTCATTAATTTTCAGATAATGATTGTAGAAGGAAGATAAACCAAAATATGTGTGTAAAAATAAAAAAAAAATAAAAAAAATTTGTTACCTTGTTTTATAAAGTATCCTCCCGACAAGTATTTCAGTGCGGACCTGTATTTGATCGTGAGGTCCCCTGTGAGGTCTTAAGTCACCTGATTCACGAGCCCGTTGTACTACATTAACAAAGGCACGAGGGGTTGGTTGCACTCGATTGGGAAACCGATCCGCATAAACATGTGCCATTTTTTATTTCGTTTGAGCCACGCAACAGACACTATTCACACGCGACTGACACTAACTGTATGTATAACTGAACTGAATAAATAAACATCGTTCCAAATTCTTTCGCTTTTTTGTTTCCGATGCGATGAACCGATAAGGTGGATTATATCCGTTGTTGCCAAACACGAGTACATGATATTATTGAGACAGGGCGGTACTCAAACTTCCAAAGGGCTATAACTTTGTTACTTTAATTTTACCAGAAAAATGGTAAAGGAAAAAACATTTCTTTTGATCAGATCTACTCACTGTTAAAATAAATGACTCAACTTCGAAGTCACCCTGTATATAAATGTATCATCAGCAAATAGTTGCAGTGTTGTAAAATATCAGGAATATCGTTGATATACGTATATAAAATAAATAGTAATGGACCTAATTTGCTACCCTGTGGCACACCTACCGAAATGTTTTTAATGTTTGATAATGTGTTGCCAATTTTAGTTCTTTGACATCTAGAATGTATTTTCTTTATCAACCCAGAGAAGAATTCCTCAGATTTTGCTAAAATAACCAATGAAGCATTTTCAAGAATACACTGGTAATATGTATCAGATTAATGGTTCAAAATATGTTGCTTCATATATTTCCTAAATATCTACGAAAAATATCAGATATTTCACAAAATATATAACTATTAAAAATCTTTCCTTATATATTTTCTAAATGTTTTGAAAAAAAAACCGCGAAAATATTATAAATAATTAATACCACAAATATCTAAAATGAATATTTTATCAATATATAAAACATTTATTTATTAAATATTAAAAATCTGTCGCTACAAATATTTAGCAAACATTTTTAAGAAATATTTAAAGAATATTTCATGCTATCAGGGCACTTCGCAAAATCTTTTCTTTTCGGTGTACATATCATATGTATAATAAAATTTTCATTATCTAGTGTGACTACAATCTTTTATACTTTAACATGTTTACAATTATTTTATTTTTTTTATACTTTTCAACGGATAAGTGACAGAATAGCTTTAAACTTCGCCCTCAATAACAAACGCTTATTATCATTATTAAAGCTAACTAACCTTTGTGCGGAGTACTGCTTTTGGAACAATTATTGTTCCTGGCACTGGCAGCGGTGGTAGCCTTACAGTGTTGCCGCTCAGCAGCAGACAGGCCCCACCTATCGGTCAACTGGCGCAGGCGCGACAGGAACGAGCGAGTCGTCTTCACTTCGGTCACCTGCTGTTCGCTGATCGGTTCCTGAGGCGATTCGCAGTTGTTCTTCACGCTGTTCTGTCTCGTGTTATTCGGACACACCAGCCGCTCCTCTTTCGACAACAGGTCCTGCTGTTGCGTTTTCTGCGGCGAGCCCTGGCGGCTCGTGTAGTCTGAAAAAGAAGAGATGGCATCCAGTAGGATTATGTTCAGCACAAGTTAGAGTTTATAATAAGACATATACAGGGTGGCCCATCCATGTGTGGACGGAATATTACTCATAAACAAATACATTTTGAGAAAATCTATTCATGGCATGTTATACATGACATTTGAGGGCGCATTTCTGAAATATTGGCAATTATACAGGGTGTCTCAATTTTGACCTACATATCAAAGCTGTGATTTTTTAAATGGAATGCCTCAAATTTTATTGTACATTTGGATGAACCAATTGCAAAAGAAGAAGATTGATATAAATGGAGATTTGGTAATTAGCTACTGAGATGTAAGGTGTTTTGTCCACTTCGGCAACCCCTCAATCCGCCATTTTGAAATTTGGAGTGCTGAATTTTGTATCAAATAAACTTACACACCTCAGCTTTTATCTTATTTGTTACTTTTTCGAATTTTCATTTTTGCTCATACAGGGTGGTCAAAAACGCGAATTGTACTTTTTCTTAAACATTTCAAATGCATCACCCTGTATATTTGGGCAAAAACAACAACAAAGTTTTTATCGTGATATACGAGGGTGGATCATATATAAACCGGAATTATTTACATAAGACGATTCGAAAATAATATCTAATTTCCTGAATTTTTAGCGATTACAATACTTCGCAATTAGCGTGATGACCAAGAAAAATTTAGCAAGATTAAATAAATTGTTTTACAGTGACAAATAACCATACGCCTTGAAAATATAGAAGTAGTTTTTAGTTTTAAATTGAGCTTACCCGATCGATTATTGTTGATTTTCCGATCCACTTTCAGGATGCTCTTCTTCTCCAGGTCCAAATGCGTCTTGACAGAGTGCTCCGAATTCCTCTTATTCAAGTTGAGCGTCTCCTTGGACAGTACGCATTCCCCGTCCTTCCTGAGACAGTACTCCTCCTCGGAGTCTGACTGGTCGGCTGCAGCTAAACCCTCTTCGAATTTCTTCTTCAACGTAAGCGCATATTCGTCCAGGAACTCCGGAGGGTCGAAGGAGAGCTTCTTGTTGCCCACCATGCAGTGCTGGTCGAAGCTCAGTGCCCCGCATCTAAATTAAAAACGGCGCAAAGTAAAAATTGAATAGATCAAGTCAGAAACCAGTCTGTAGTCCGTACTCATACGTACTAAAGGGTTGTCCAATAGGGACGCAGGAAAGTAAACGTCAATTTGACATAGACGCCATCTTTGTTTTCTGTCACCGACATGTCATTTTGTTAGTTGAATGTTTACCATTGATCGCTATGGAGTCGTATTCGATTGAAGACCGCATTAAAGTTATTGAAGAGCACTACAAAAATGGTGCAAAAATTAAAAACCCGTTTCGCGCGCTTCGTGAACATTTCGGTCGCAACAACCGCCCAAACGAAACAACCATCGGTCGTCTGGTGCGTAAATTCGAGGCAACAGGTTCTGTGGCAAATCTGCCAGGCTCTGGCCGGCCAAGGAGCGTTCGCACACCGGAAAATATTGCTGTTGTGAAGGAGAGTGTGAGAGACGATCCGAAACAATCAACGACGCGTCGATCCCAAGAATTGGGCATTTCGAGAACCAGTTTGCTCCGCATTCTCCACAAGAATTTGAATGTACACGCCTACAAGATTGGCTCCTTGAACACCGCCAAATTGATGACAATTTTTCATCAAAAATCATGTTCAGCGACGAAGCGCATTTCACTTTGAATGGGACGGTAAACAAGCAAAACTGCCGCATCTGGGCGAACGAAAATCCCCGTGAGTATCAAGGGCAGCCGATGCATCCTCAAAAAGTGACTGTGTGATGTGCATTGTGGTCAAAAGGCATCATCGGACCTTGCTTTTTCGAAAATGCGGCCGGGGACGCCGTTACCGTCAATTCTGAGCGATATCACGTGATGATAGAGGACTATTTTTTGCCGCAACTTGAAGGAATGGATATGGACGATGTTTATTTCCAACAAGACGGTGCAACATGCCACACAACCAACGTCAATATCCATCGATTGCAGTCCTTCTTCGGTGATCGCGTGATTTCGCGCAGAGGAAATGTGCCATGGCCACCAAGATCGTGCGATTTGACTCCCTTGGACTTCTTTTTATGGGGATATTTGAAAAGCAACGTCAACGTCAACAAACCAGCCACCCTTCAAGAACTCAAAAACAACATCATTGCCGAGATAAATGCCATAGAACCGACCATGTTGCAAAATGTCATTGAAAATTTCGACCGTCGCGTGGACGTCTGTAAATCCAGTCGTGGAGAACATTTGAGCGATATTATTTTTCATACATAAATGGTATAAATGACGTTCAAATAAAGTACCCAACTTGATTTGAATATCAATCTTTCTTGTTTTAATATGCGTTTACTATCCTGCGTCCGTTTTGGACAACCCCATAGAATTTTTTCCCCTGCCCTGCCGACAGTACCGATCACCTGGCAACGTTGCCATGACTAGCCTCGCCATTCATCAGCCACTCTTAGGACAGAAATCAGCCGGATCCCAGTACGTCACACAGGTGCATCCTGGGACGCGTGTAGTGAAAATATTTCATCATTTTAAGTTACAAGGGGATATCTATGATGTGTGAAATAATTCATTTTCCATTGTTTATTTATTTGAGAAATTTTTTATATATATGGCGAGTTTCTGCAACCTAAGGTCGCTTCTCGCAACCCATACGCCATCGTATCCTATCGTTCCAGTCTCCTTCATGTAGTCCTCTACTTTCCATTGCGGTATGGATGTTTGAAATCCATTTCCTTCGTGGTCTTCCTCGTTTATTTCTTTGTGCTGGTGTCCATTTCCAAACCCTTAATGGTATCCTTTCTTCGTTCATTCGTTGCAGGTGTCCATACCATTTTAACTGCCTCTCTGTTATATCGTCCATTATTGTATTTTCGACTTCCATTCTTTCTCTGATGGTCTCATTTCTAACATGGTCAAGTAAAGTTAAACCGGAACATCTTCTCCAGTACATCATTTCGGTTGAGAGAAGCTTTTGTGACATATTTTTATCTACAACTCACGCTTCTGACCCATACGTCAGTACTGGCTGAATCATAGCCTGATATATAATTTTTTTTTGTTTTCTTTGTTAGGTTCTTACTCCACAAGATCGGATGTAGTGCTTTAATCATATTTTTTCCTTTTCCTATTTTCCTTAGTATGTCTTTATTATCCTTTCCGCTTTCATCTATTGTAACTCCTAGGTACTGGTACTGTCCGACGTTTTCTATTTTTCCGCTTTTTGTTTCGATGTCTTGTCCTGTGCCTCCTATAGTCATGTATTGTGTCTTTTGTATATTTATCTCCAAACCCCATTTAGTGAATTCTTCTATAAGTTTGTTTATCATGTAAGTCATGTCTTGCTGGTCTTCTGCAAAGACTACCTGATCATCTGCAAAGAGGATTGTATACAAGTGAAAGTTCTCTAACCATATCCCCATGGGGCTGCACTTTCTTATCCACTGTTTTAAAGCGCTGCAGAGATAGATTTTAAACAGGGTTGGAGAGAGGCAGGAGCCCTGCTTAACACCTTTTGTTCGTGGGAAAGCCTCAGAAATTTGATTTCCGACTTTAACGACCACTTGATTTTCTCTATACATTGCTTTTACGGCGTTTATGTATTTGTTATTTATGCCTGCTTCTTTCATTGCGATCCATAATTTCTGCAAAGTGACGGAGTCGAATGCCTTGCGGAGATCTATAAAAGTAGCGTGTAGCTCCATTCCTCTTGCTAATCTCTTTTCTGTCAGTTGTTTTATTGTAAATATGTTGTCGACACAGGATCGCCCAGGTCGAAATCCACTTTGTTCTTCAATTTCCTTCTTCTATTCGGGCTGTTAGGACTCTTTCGTAAAGCTTTCCGATGGACGATGTAATACTAATACCCCGATAATTACTACAGTCACTCCTGTTTCCCTTTTTATAAATGGAATTTATGTAAGAGCTCCTCCAATCTCTGGGAATCGTTCCCCCTTCCAGGCACTTGTTAAAAATTACACAAAGTAGCTCGTGCGTTCTTGTGGTGGCGTGTTTAATTAACTCGATAGGCAAATCCCCCGGTCCCGGAGCTTTATTATTTTTCATTTTTTGTAATGCTGTTTTTATTTCTTCTAATTGAATGGTATCTGCTCTGTTAACTCCCGTTTGATCTATATCTAGTTGCGTGTCTAAATACTCTCCACGTTGTTCTGCCAGTAGATTATTGTAGTAGTCTTTCCACTGTTCTATTTTTATGGGATTTATTTTTCTTCTTTCATTCGTGTTTGTTTTAAGACCATTTATAGCTTCTCTATACCTAGATCCTCCTACCATTGAGCTAATTTCAGCACATTTGGTTTCTCATGTTTTGTTTTTTATTTTTTTAATTTCTTTTTTTACTATATATTTAAAACGATTATAGCTTTTTCGATCTTCATCGCCTTTTGTAGTTAACCATTTAAGATATAAGTTTTTCTTTTCTTCTACCAGTTGGGTTAAATCGTCCGTCCACCAAGAATTTTTGTGTTCCGTTCTATCTTTAACACCAAGGGCTTCTAGTGCTGCTTCGTGAATTTTGTGTTTCAAAGTTTCATACATTTCTTCTGCCTTGCCGTTAATATCTTCGTCCAGTTTTTGTGCTAAACGTAGTTTGTAAAGGAAACTGGTGGATTCATCCCTTAAGCTGCCTATGTTATATCGCTTTGTGGGTTTTCCATTGTTATTTTGTTCTTGATATATGAGATGTTTATTGTAAGTAATTTCAATGGGTGCTTTTACTAGCAGGTGATCTGAACCGCACTCAGCTCCTCTCCAAACTTTTACATCATAGGGTATTATGGAAGTGTCCTGCTTAATCACGACATAGTCAATAATTGATTTCAAGTTTTTTGTTTTTTGAGTCCAAGTATATTTGTGTATGTCTTTGTGTTGGAAAATCCGTTTAAGATTCTTAACGAGTGTTGTTCACAAAGCTCTATCCATCTGGTTCCGTTTTCATTGACTACTTCCTCTCCGTGTTGTCCAATTATTTTACTGTCAAGAGCTTTGCCCACTCTTCCGTTCAGGTCGCCTATCAAGACTATTCTTATGTCCGAGGCGCGCCAGACCGTACAAAATGTTACCTGAGCTTGCCCTTCTGGACCATCTTGGCGACGTCCGAATGATTCAGATGCTGCACCCGTTCCCTGCTGCCCTTTCGACTACCGGGATAGCTCTTCCTCCCTGTCACGCTGAGCGGCGTCGTCGCCGAACATATGCTGCTCTCCGTCGAGATCTTGAACTTGAGCGCTTTCTCTGATACTTCCACCTCGGTGGCCGTTTCCGAGTCGCCGCTCTCCGGATCTTCCTGGACCTTCTCGAGATTGCTCGTCGCATTCAGCTCGCTGGTTGAAGAACCGGCTGAAACTGCGGCTGACGGTAGAGGCGCCGACAGATGATCGTCCTGGACGTCTGGATCGTCGTCTGTCGAGCGGGACCTGGAACACAGATTTAAAATACTTTATCTAAGTGTCTACAGTATATTCAGATAAGAGATAGACCGGATGTAAACAAAAGGTTCGGGTGATTTTCACGCTAACGCCGCCGTCTCGACGTAAAACAGGAGCCCTCATTGGTCAATTCGCAATTAAATGCCTATGCCGAGCGGCAGAGCAGTCGTATCAAGGCAGAGTCGCATTCAGGTTCAGACGTGTTACGTATGTCGTGTGCATCATTGCAATTTGATATTTCTTTGGACGTTTTCGTTTGTTATCTTATTAGGTTGTTGAGTTTGTCGTTGTTATTGTTATACCTTGTTATTGATTGTTATTGTTATCAACTGCTTGCGCAAAATGCCCAGTAGTACAGATACTGCCGATGAAGATGTAAACTCATGTAGTCCATCTAGGAAACGCTCTAAAAAAGACACCTGAGTGCAGAAATGAAAGAGGTCATTTTGAATATATATAAGATCGAGCGCGAGGAGAACGAGGCATCAACCATCAAAGAAATTGTTGTGAAGGTTTCTCACAAAGTTGGGGCGTGTCGCGCATCAGTGTTTAATGTGTTATGACAATACAAAAAAAATCACACCTTTTCTGAGCCAATGACCAGTAAACATCGCAAAAGTATTGTAAAATCATTGGATGAAGCTGATAAGCATGCGATTAGGAGGAAGTGCATGAATTCTTCTTTAAGAATGAAATACCTACTATAGATAAAGTACTGCAGGAGGTAAATGGAGATACAACGTTGCCAAATTTCAAACGATCAACTTTCCATGCGTTACTGAAGCATTTAAATTTCAAATGGAAAAAACGGGGTCGTAATAGTTTACTACTGGATAGAGAATAAATTGTGCTATGGAGGAGGGATTATTTAACAAAAATTGGGAAATATAGAAATCAAAACAGGAAGATTTATTACCTTGATGAACGTGGGTAAACGCAGGACACACTACAAGTAAAGTATGGGTTGATGATTCTGTAACTTCATCCAGGAGGGCCTATCTAGATGGACTGTCCACCGGATTAAAAAATCCAGCAGGTAAATACGAGTAATAGACAACAATCGGATGTTTTTCAAACCTTGGGAACAGGTTCTAAACATTAATTCCAGGGGGCAGATAAAGCATATTACAAGTAACAAAACTTTTATAACTTTCGATAAAATGCGTGGATGTTTTATTGTCATTTTCATTTGTTAGAACTTTTTTAAGCCATGTTTTTATGTGTTTTCGATATTTCAATATTTTTTTAATATAATCTTAAAATATGTCGAATATTATAAACTTAAAAAAAGTTACTAAGTTTTATATCGTGTACCGTTCCTAATATTTCTAGTCATTTTAATTCATACTTTAAGCTTTATAAAGTTATAATTTGTTAATATTAATATTTGCGCGTATTTCAGGTTCCTGATCATTCATTTTTTAAAGGTTTATAACTTTAAATTAAATTGTGAAGCGCTGAGTAATCATACGACGTTCAATATTCTTTCTTTCAATATGACTAAATAATCCCAATTATAGCAATCTGATACTCATGAGTCTCTATGTTTTTTCGCTGAATGTGATGAAAACATTTGAAAAAGGTTCGCTTATTGAAATAAATCTACACCAGTTACTACTTCGATTTCCAGGTAAAGGGAAAAGGCTCATTATCTGCCATATTGGCAGTGAGGATGGATTTGTTGTTGACGGTCTGTGGTGCTTTGAGTCTAAGAAAACTGGAGGTTACCACGAGGAAATGAATGGCGAATCGTTTGAACAGTGGTTTTCAAAAATTTTACCGAACTTAGAGAAAAAACGCAGTAATTGTGTTGGACAATGCGCCTTATCATTCTCGAAGAATGGAGAAGGTCCCAACAACGGCTTCAAGGAAAGTTGATGTTCAAATTGGCTCCGCTCGAAAAATATCAACTTTGAAGAAGCAATGCTGAAAGTACAATTATCAAGAATTGTCAAGGATCACAAGGCGGAATATCAAAAATACTCCATTGACGAAATGGCAGCAAGTCAAAATAAAACTGTGCTCCGTTTACCTCCATACCATTGCGAGCTCAATCCCATTGAGCTCATATGGGCAGAGGTTAAAAATTATATAGCTAAGCACAATACAACTTTTAAATTTTGTGACCTTAAAGGACTTTTCAAAGAAGCACTAGAATTAATAACAGCGCAAAAATGGGAAAAACTGTATTAAGCACGTGAAAGACAAAGTTGAAAAGAGAATGTGGGAACTGGACAATATTTTAGAGGAACAAGTCGAGCCATTCATTATTGATGTTGGTGCTTCAGGCAGTAGCGATGATGAAAGCTCATCAAGCTCATCTTTCCAATAAAAGATGTCGCTCATCAAATTCGGTAAGTTATAAGTAATTATGAAGCTACTGTATTTTTTAATTAATTATTGACATTTTTGAACCCATTTTGGCAAAACCTATTCAAGAATCTACTTTCTGACAATGTTCAACCATGCACATTTTTTTACGTTTTGAACATTTTAATTTGGTTACATATTTACCTAGAAATCAAAAAATATACTAATCAATATTCTAAAAGCAATTTTAAGAGATATACGATTATTTTTAATTTAGGCTAATTTAAACGCCATTTTGAGATTATATTCGATTGTATTTCACCAAACATCAGGCGGCATCCGAAGCTGGAAATCGAAGCGAAAATTTTGAAACCCTTATGTATATTTACATCATTATATATTTCTTACCCCACCCCAGATGATCCTATATCCATCACCAATCGTATACACATCGAATTGTGCTAATTTACTACAAAGTTACGCAAACCAGCATCTACTATCTAAAATATGTACTGCGTGACTTTTAATACGTCCCTGCGAATGTTACAGCGTTCGATGATCACGTGGTCTTGTTTATGTCCGGTCTATCTCTTATCTGAATATACTGTAGCGGGCTGTCATTAGTAAAATTACGATTTTCTGAAAAATACATGACTAATACATATTTTAGATCTGTAGTGAAAAATTCCGAATATTTTTCCATCAAATGTGACGCTGGTTTCTAATTCGTCATCTTCTAGATTGACTAATTTCTCTGGAATCAAAAAACCAAACACATCATTCACTTCACGAAATCCTTCAGCGCGCTCTTAGAAATCGTTACTCATTGAATCGCAAACTTCGTAGTAATTTATTCGATGTTTTTCGTGTGTTTCCAGTGGCGAGGCAGCTGCTTTCCATTCCATCTCATTCCATTTATTTTTAGCCTTCACCACAAAATTATCGTATGTGCTTTCGCTCCTCGAATCTTTTAATTTTTTTAATGTTGCTCAAATGCACCTTTCAGCCATCATCAAGTCTATTTCTTTCATTTGCATTTGAACCTGCACAGTATTCATTACGCTCAATACTGAATGCCACCGTATCAAATTGAGGAAAAACGTGCAGTTCATGGAGGAAAGGAGAGATCTTGCATTCATTATATCTTCTCCAAAAGTTCCCACTCTTCATCTTCTATGCAATTGATTATACATTCAAAAAATTTCTTCCACGATATTATTATGAAGAAAATAGATATATCATCAAATAAAAAAATGCACCGTATTGTGAAAGTTTATGGTTATAAGCATTGAAGACGAAAGAGGCTGTTTCAAACCACGAAGATATTTATTTTCTAAACACTTTATGCCTGGTAATAATATATCACTGCAAGCACAAAATGCAAAAGTAACCCCTCCACTCCTTGAGAAATAAAAGGGTCATTCGGTCAATTTTTTAGAAATGCAATAGTCATTTTTCAAAAAATTTCTTCAGAAATGAAAAGTAAATTTTCTTATTCAAACTGAATGCTAACGCGCTGTTTCATAGACATTACGCAGATGGTCATTAAAAGAATATAACAACACTCTGATTTCTTGTTATTAATTTTAAATCCAGACGCGCTGAACAATATATGTCCATTTTGTCATTACTTAAATCCGCCACTGTGACGGACAAAACCACAAAAAAGTTGTTGCACTGGATTCAAAGGAGATGATAAGTATTAATATTAATCGATGCGCAGGAAGACAAAAATGAAGAATTAATTTTGTTATTTAACAATAAATTGTTCATTTTCAACTTACAACAACAATAGGCTGCACCCTAAGGGTACAAGGGTAGGGTTGTCGTCTGCCTTCTGTCCTCCAGTCAAGTTTTAATTTTTGTGTTAGAGGCACTGATGTCATCCCCCCTCCGAAGACGAGAAGCACATCTTCCTGAACAAGTTTTTTGACCAGTGTGATCCCCTCCCAGACACAAATCCTGGATCCGCCGTTGGTTTAAGCTCAATTTTGCGTAGTCAAATGCTTGTGATCGTTCATAAACTCACACGTTTTATCATAAGTTCTAGCAAACTACTTGGTCGTGTCGACCACGAAATTACCTTCAACGGACAGTGAGTATGAAGTACTTAAAATTCGAGCAAAATTCTAGCTAGGTGTAATGTGTTGTGGCATATAATGTCGGTATATCGGTAACGTCTACTAGAGTATGCCTAGGACATATCTTCTCGGGGATAAAGGTGTTTGAAGACGCTGAAGATGTGTCTGCGAAAAAGAAAACCTAGTCAGTATCTATAGGAACATCTCATAAACCATGCAACAGTGCAATTCAGAGACGATGTCTAGCATTGTTAGTTGATAATGGCGGAAGAACAAGTATGAGGAAACTACAGAAGTGCATATTTACAAATATGTACAATATGTTACTGACTATTTTTGGGACTGCTAAATATCAATCTTGCTTATAATAATAGACGACATAGACAAAGAGCATCAGATCTAATTGGTTTGGGATAGAAGAGAAAGTATACAAGTATCAAATAACACCCCTGAGATATTGCTTTTAATATATTGTTGGTAACGTGACTTGTTATCTATGATCAAACCAGGTATCTTACAGCTAGTTGAAAAATAAAGTTGTTGTTCATTGAAGAAGAGGGTCAGACCACTGCTCAAGTTTTCTCGATTGTGATCGGAACAGTTTCGTTGTATCAGGATTTAGTTTAAAATTGTGTCTTTAGAATTGTCAGATACTGTTCGTAAGTCAGTGTTGATTAAATCATTTGCCTGTTTCCTCAAGGGATGGTTCAAAATGAAGCACAAGCTGCGTGTCATCAGTATAAGATTGAATGTGTGAGTACTGTACGGATTTCAAGATATCAGCTGTGTGTATAATAAATAACAACGGTCATAAAACAGAACCTTGAGGAACTCCTGATGTGATTGTTGTTATCTCAGATCTTTTGTTATGTAGAATAACGCTTTGCTTACGAAGCCTTAAGTAATTGCAAAATAAGTTCAACGCTGTAAGGTCAAGGTCATAACGATACAGTTTTGCGCACATAAGTGAATGGTCAATGGTTTCAAAGGCTTTTGATGAAAATGATAGTTTAGATGAAAAAACATTTGTTATATTAAGGAAAACATTACAGGCATGTGTGAAAGAATAGATAATGCGTTTAATCAAAATCAAGCCACAACAAATTTTGCGGATATACGTTTTTCTTTATTAAAAAGATGCCGCACAATTGTGGTCTTTTTGAACATTCATTTTTTTTTTAATAATAATAATATTTATTTACTCAATGTACAAAGATAACAAACAATATGAGTAAATAAATATAAAATCAAAACAGGCCCAATAGAAGGCATCGCCTGTACATGGACCAATAATTTAAGTTGAAACTGTAGAATGCAAATGACAAAAAAGGACAAAAATTAGCTACAGTAGATTATGTATTTAGTTGATGTTCGTATTTATGAGTTTATGAATTTCAGTCCTAGATAGTGAGTGATACTGTGTAAGAAATAAAGCTGTCTTATATCATACATTCGAACATCTGCATATAATTTTTCAGTGGGATAAAGTTTCGGTTTTTTAAATATCATTTTTAGAATACTTTTTTGAAAAACATCTAAATTATAGATATGTGAGGAACATGCAGCTCGCCATGCTAATATACCATATGTGAGATGAGGCTCAATCAGTGCATGGTATAATGTTTGAAGATATTTTTCTGTCAATATATTCCCAAGGTATTTAATTTTGTAGGATACAAATCTAACTTTCTTTAAAATATAATTGACATGGATGTCCCATCGTAAGTGAGGATCCAAGACCACTCCAAGGTATTTTATGTTGGGCACTCTATTAATTTGCATTTTTTGATCATTAATATTGAAGGAGAAATTTGTGTAATTTGGCAGATGTCTAGCATAAGATCCAAATGGTAAAAAATGTGTTTTAGAGTAGTTAATGCTTAATTTTCTACTGTTAAACCACCGAATAATTTTGATAAAATCATTTTCAATAACATTTTTCAGATCAGACCAGTCAGTGCCTTCATATAATATTGCAGTATCATCTGCAAAACTAGTTATTTTGCCAACACAATTAATTTGGAAAATATCATTTAAATATATATTGAATAACAGCGGACCTAAGACAGTTCCTTGTGGGACACCACACTTAATATACATTTCTTTACTAAATGATCCTGATATCTGCACAGATTGTGGGCGATTTGACAAATAACTTTCGATCAGTGAGTACGCGTTTCCTCTGAAACCAATTCTCTCCAATGCCTCTAATAATAATTTGTGATTAACTGTGTCGAAAGCTTTCTTTAAATCAACAAAAATGCAGATTGAAGGGATTCTGTTATCAATATTTTGATATATTTGATTTACAATTTTAGTTATTGCGTCCGATGTAGTCTTCCCTTCTGTAAATCCATATTGATTTTCACTTAAAATTTTGAATTTTGTGAGGTATCGAATCATTCTAGTAGATAAAACTTTTTCAAAAACCTTTGCTACACTGGATATTATTGATATTGGTCTATAGTTGTTAACATCTGTTTTTGTTCCTGATTTATGTATCGGTATTATATTACCTTTTTTAAAATTGAGGGATATATGCCAGATTCAAAGCATTTGTTGATTAGGTAAGTGAGTGGTTCTGTTATGTCCTCGGCTATAATTTTCAAATGATGGCTTTTAATACCATCGAACCCAGGACTTTTCCGATTTTTTAAGGACATAACAGTGGTGTATACTTCATATTGTTCGACTTTATCCAAAATAAATGAGTTCAAAGTTCTTTTTGGAGGCTGAGTATTTTGTACATTTGCTTGTATATTACTTGCTAAATTTTCGCCTATGTCAGTAAAGAATTGTACAAATTCATCGCATATCTGTTGAGTATTTTTTAATACTGTTCCCGATGTTGTATTTAATTCAGTGACACACTCTTTAAATTTTGTTTTCCCAGTAATCTCATCAATAGTTGTCCAAAGCCGCTTAGGATCATTTAAGTTATTATTCAATTTATTTAGGTAATGTTTTCGTTTGGTTTGCCTTGCAAGCTCTATAAATTTATTTTTATATTGGTTGTAACAGTCGGTATTCTCTGTAGTTGGCGTTAGTTTCATTACATTATATAGTCTTTCTTTTTCTATTGCCGATGTTATTAATCCTTTGGTAAACCAGGCATTTCTGCTTTTCTCTTTGTGACTAATTATTACTTTATTGGTACTAATATCTATTAGTTTTTTTATTTTCTCTATGAACAGTCCCGTTGCTTTGTCTATATTATTTATAGAGTATAATTGTTCCCAGGATTCTTGATTGACATTTGATATTAGTTTTGAATTGTCGACAAAAAATTTGTAATTTTCCTGGTTGTTATTAACGGTAGGAATGTTAGAATGTTTTTCATTTGAAGATATCAGTAAAATAGTGGAGAAGTGGTCAGTAATATCGCTTTCTAGGATTATTGGTATACAAGTAATTTTGTTGGATAGGTCTTTCAGAAAGCAGTGATCTATACATGTGCCACTGATGGACCTTGTAGGTAGGTTTATATAGGACAGAAATCCGTTACTTGATAGGATATTCAAGTATTCATTTGTGATGGGATCATCGTCCAAAATATTTATATTGACATCTCCCAAGAAAATATGTTGCTTTAAATGAACTTTATTTTGATTTTGAAAAAAAAATTCGATATTCTTTAAAACTCGTGGGGTTCTGAACATGGCGGACGATAAATTGCAGATACCTCAATTTTGTTATGGTTAATTTGGATCATTATGTTTAAAATTTTGATTCCATCGGTGAAAGTGAATGTATCATGATTATATTGCAGTTTATTTCTTACAAAAACTATCACCCCATCGTTTTGGTTATAAGTGCCAAAGTTATACAGCGTGTCATATCCCTGCTGATTGAAGCAAGAAATATCAACCACTTGCCACGTTTCAGTTAAAACTATTAGATCAAAATTGTACCATATTTGGTCGAGTAGTATTTTTAAGTAATCAATGTTGTGTTTTATACTCCTTATGTTCATATTAAAAATTCGAAATTTTGCATCAGAATTTTGTGTACATAAATTAAGTTCATCGACGTTTTGTGCTATATTTGTTGCAATATTTGGAATTTGGAAATCATTGATGTATTTATTTACTGACATTTTTAGGTCCTCTTTAGAGATAGGAGTATCAAAAGATGAACTTGAATTTAAAAAAGTATCCTTAAGTTTTGTTGTTCCTGATAGTATTTGTATGATGGACAGTTTTGTCGGTAGGTGAGTGGTTAATATTATAATTTTTTTTATATCTTTCATTTCCATATCTACTATTGAAACAAAGCTTGATTATCTAATTTGTTTTTTTTATTTTTACAAAACAACGCACTCTAGGAAAAAATTACAATTATGCGTAGCAAATTGAAGGTAAAATTCGAAAAATAGCGCGTTTCGAAAAAAAAAACAGTGGCGTACTATTTTTATTTGGAAAAATAGTGCTACTAATCCCCTCCGCCACTGAAGCACGTTAATTTTAAGTAAAGACTTTTGAATGTGGACAATACTTAGGTAAATCCACATGCCAAATTTTAGTTCATCCTAGTTGACGGTTTTGAAGATATTAAAAAAATGTTCCCCCCGTATCTTTTTAATAAATACGGTCCTGTGTATGATGTTTCATTTTTGGTCACGACTTGTGAATCGCTTCACAATCATGAACAGCGTTGAGTCAATCTACTTAACTTCATTTTATGTCGTAAAATACAAAAACCCTGGGCGCTTTCATAGCAGCAAATGAGGAAGTGCTCACTCCGGTTTACAACTTAGGTCACAGCAAACGTAATTTAAATGAATATGGTAGCATTTTGTAGCTTTCCATTTGAGCAGCACGCTGCACTCAAGCAGATTGAATTCCGATTGTCCTTTCGGCCTCATATAAATCCGCGACGAATTTTTTCGGGATTGCGTAACAATCGCTGAAGTAAGTCGCCCAAAAGATTTATAGGTTTAGTCAACGCCAAACAAAGTGGCGTGCACGTCATCACGATAAAAATTCCCCGACCTAATGCCTAGGTTTCTATCACAAACAATTGCTCTATTGCAGTTTCATATTAATGTGATATATAAATTGTAAAATGGTCATTACTCTCTTATTATGGTTAATAGTCATATAAACATTGTTATTAAAATATCACGTAAGTTGCTTTCTGATAAATTTAGACGCATTATGCGAAAT